GCTATAGACACGGATTATAATCTGAATCACAATAGGAATAAAACATGAATAGCATTTGCAGAAAATATTTAGGAATATTGCCAATGTCTTCCTGCTTTTTTAAAAATCTGTTTTGCATATAAGGAGATGGCTTGGAATGTTATGTGCTGCAAGAATATTTTGAGTCATATCACAAGCGTAACCTTTTTTTTTTTTGCTACACATGTACATTGAGTCTTTCCATCACAGTGAAGAAAGTCCAGTCAATATGATTTTCTAAAAGCCACAAGACCTTTAGTAGCTTAATGTATGAAAGCGGATCAGGGCTGTTGACTTTTCTTTCTGTGGTATTTTGTAATATCTGAGGTACAGGTCAGTCTTTTTAAAATGAGTTTCTGCTAGATGCCATATGGCTTTTTTCGGCGGGGAGAGGGTCTTGGCTAAAAGGGTCACCCCGAAGCTTTTATGGGCCCAGATATATTCTAATGCTCTGTACACCTCTTTGTGGCCATATAATGTTGAGTCACACTGAATAGATTCTGAGAGGGAGGGAGGTGGGCGTGGGAGACGGTGATAACCAGAAGCACTGGTTTTCGGGATGCAGTCATTTTTGAGCAGTCCTCAAGAGCCCACGATGGTGCTGGCAACCATGGGTACAGGAGCTGCTTCCCTGCCTCTGCTCAGGCTTACTGGCAGGTGTCACAAACCCTCTCAGTTTAGAATTTTGGCCACGGGCCCTAAACCTCAATTTGCGCATCTTTTACAATAGTTCATTACATATTCTTAAAACAATTTTCAACATTTTTGCTCATGACAGTAGCTAAATTCACAGAAGCTTGTGAAACCCTACAATCCTGTCCCTAGACTGAGACTTGTGAGCTGCACATGTTGCTGGTATGTAATGGGAGGGAAATGGCGGTTTGGCAGTAGCCTGTTCAGCGTGTGATTTTCTGACATCAACTTGACCACAGAAGCGAGATGGAGCTCCGGGGCAAGTGTCGAGTGAGGTGCAGATCTACAAGAAAGACTTGAGTCTGTCTTTGGTCCCTTAAAATTCCCCCTTTAGTTATTTTGAGTAACAGGTGCTTGCTCCCCTCTCCCACCCCTACTTATAAATGAAAATTATTGGTTTGGAGGGGCTGGTGATCCAGACATGGGAGGTGGGCTTGCTTTCCAAATTCTCAGTTTAGAATTTTACTGGGATTCCTTGTGTAAAACTCTTGGATTCTGACCTCTCTGGCTCTTACTTGGTTCTTTCCAATGGCTGAAACCACTGCTTTGCTCAATATCTCTGTACTACTTTCTTATTCCTCCCTCTGCTGTCTATTCTCAGGGCCCTGCTCCTGGGCAGTAGTGGCCTACTTACAGAGCCTCCCAGAGGAGCTGGGCAGCCCGCCCCTGTTCTCCTCTGTGCTGGAGCATGGGCTGACTCCTGGGTAGACTCCACCAGACTGGAGGGCGCAGGGTGGTAAGATTATTGCAGTGGCCTAGGTAAGTCACAGAGATTTAACTAACATCACTGTGTCCCCTGGGATTCCCTGACAGGTTGGAGGACTTGTTTCTGATATTCCATAGCAAAATGCTGATGGACAGGGAAATGTCCACTTGCTGCTTAATGGAAGACCGTGGATAACAGACACTTGCAATAGGAGAGTTTGGAGAATGAAATTAAAATTGGCAGAACCAACCGTGTAGATATTATAAAAGGTATTTAAGATTTTAAAGGATTCACACGCGTGCACACACACACACACACACACACAGAGGCGATGCTTCAGATGGGTTTTCCTTAAAGAAATGCCTCACTAATTCCAAAACCATTTCCCAACTCTTCTTGCCTTTTCCTCTTGGCCTATCCATTGAGAGCTGAGCACAAGGTCTAAGTGTCCACATCTCATCTCTGTGAGCTGCTTGTTTTGTTTGTGGAAACACAAGGGAGCTTTTATGTCCTGTTTTCACCAAGCTTGATCAATGGAGCGACTTGGCCTGCTTGTTGCCCCGCCGTCCATTTGTGTTCAGCCAAGCCCGAAGTGCCACCTCCTATTAGAGTCTAAATATTAATTAGGCTGAAACCGTTAATTTAATCAGTGGCCACTTAGGGGCCTGGACAGCTTTTGACCCTTGTCAGTGTGTTTAGTAACCAGCCAGCTCGCCCTCCAGGATAAATGCATGCTATACACATGAAAGGACTTGGGCACTGAGCTAGTCCCCGTGGATGAATTAAGCGACTCCTTGTATCCACAGGCTGGCTTCACTAGCCCAGCCCCTGACCAACCTGCGTCCTTAGTAAAATTCCAGATACACAGAACAGAGTGAGCCACCCAGCTGTTTAATGGAGCTGAGTAAAGTAGGAAAGATTGGCCTGCTTGCTGGTGCTGGGAGGGCAGGGCTGAGGCTGTGGGGAAGCTGTGTTCTGGGGAGGTGTGATCCATATGGCTTGCAAGAAGGCTGCTTCCCGCCCTTGGCCATGGCCTTGGCTGCACTGGCCTCGCGGCACCCAGCTGTGGCTCCCTAGTCCTTCTCCGGCTCCCAGCAGTGGCAGCCATGGGTCCCCTGGCCTCAGGCCCATGCTCCCCAGGATGGCTGTCTCAGGCTCATTCAGGTGGCTCCCCTTCCTTTTCAGATTCAGTTTAGAGGAGATCTTTCTGAGGTTAGAAAACTGTCTCTGATTTTTCCAGTTTCTTTATTTTACCACATTTTACTAATCTTTGGTTTGGTTCTAGGCAAGTGACTTCCTTACAATGATACACTTTGAAAGACAGCCTTTTTCTTCGAGTTTAATCTTTTATATTTTATTAACATCACAGTTTGCTAGGAGGGCCCACTTAAAACATGCCCTGAGCACCTACTACGAGCCATGCGTATACTCTGCCTCATGCACAAGGTACCCCACTACAGGAACTGCAGTGAGATTTCCTGATGTTCTGTTTCATGCTGCTGTGTCTGTTATCACGCGGAGAACACCCATCACCCCTGGAATTTGGGGAAGGTAGCACTGACTGCCCTATCTATGCGCAGGGTGTGAATATTAGGAGGGAATATAGTAATGAAAGAACCAGGGAATGGTGGGAAAGAGGATACACGCACTCTGGTGTCCCTGGAAAGGTGACTTGAACCTGTAAGCACAGTACCATTTTATCATGCTGATGCAGGAAGATCTGCAGGAAATTTTCCCTGGCTGGCGGGTGTCCTCTGAAGCTGTGTTTTTAAATCCCTACCATTGTGCACAAATTGAATGGATCTTTGTTGTATTTCAGCTTCAACAAGTCAGCTAGGAGGGAAAATGCTGGCCTTTCTTTGGGTCAAAGTGTAAAACAAAGCAAAAAACAACAAATGTAACCTTTCCAAATCTATATACAGTGACTCCCCTTTTCTTTCTGTCCTTTCCAGTTTCTAAATGCCACAGTTATTAAAGGTTAGATTTTTGGAAGGAACATGTGCTAGTATATGGGAGAAAATAGTCCATTTGGGGGCTCCAGGGTCTCCATCCATAGGCCTCTCCATCCCTGGCCTCTAGATGCATGTATAGACCCATGGAAAGCTATTCAGATTTGTTGACTATAAACTAATGTTGTTTGTCATGGATCTAGACATATCTGTGATGGCTGTAAAGTTCAGGATGATGAGGAGTTTAAAAGGACTGTTACTGTAGTTGGAGTATTAGGGAGGACATTTAAATGCTGAGATGTTTCTAGGAACAAGGGACAGAATATAGGAAAGCGGGAAAATTTAGGCCATGTGGTCACTGTTTATGGAGCCACGAATTTGGCTCCTCAAGGGACCAGGTCCCAAGCTACTGGTGACTGAAACACATCCAGACCAAACTGCCTCTCGTGCCCGGCCTCCCGCCCAGCTGAGCTCAGAGCAGCTGATCTTACTTCAGTAGACATGGAAACACCACCAGGGAGACTGGCCGAGGCAGGTTCTGGGCCCCTGACTAGAAATTCTGACTCCTTTGGTCTGAAAGGAGGCTTCATTTGCCTTTGTAACCACTCTGCACAAGCCACGGCCACACTGAGAAGCTCCCTGCAGCCTGTGACCACCTGGCTGTGTGTTTGGAGCTGTGTGGTATCACAGAGCGTTGGGGGGGTGGTTGTCAAGGACTGATGATGGCCACTGGGTGTCCCATGTTCTTCAGCTCCTACAGCACGTGGACTCTGCGGTCCCACATCCTGGGACCTACAGTTCTTCTCTCACCCTCTGATTCAGAAAGTAGCTCAGCATTATTTCTTTGAAGGATCTACCCATGAAAAATGGGGGCAGGAAATATACCTTGTAAAGTAGAAGAACCCAGACTGCAAGTCCTGTGACTCTGCGCTGGAATCATGTGATGGACACCTAGGGGCAGAGCCCCTTGGTCCTTCTACGGGAGCAAACTCAACTGCCACCATCAGGAGAGAAGCGAGGGCCCCAGGCCTTGAGGCCCCTGAGGCTGGGGCTCTGCTTCTCTCAACATGGGACCTACATGAGTGACCCCTAACTTCTCAGGGCCAAGTGGGAAAGCCGTGGGTTACTGAAGCAGTTGTCAGAGACCCCCTAGAAAGAGAACTACAAACTAAAAGGTGACAGGATTTTAGGATGTACCCGTGTCCATGTCCAGTGGTTACCTCGGCCTGGAATCGTGGGCACTGGAACTTCCAGGATCCTGGATCACTGACTGATCAGGACTAATGAGCAATCTTACGTGGACTGATATTTACATGCTCTTTGGCTAGGTGTACCGGGCTGGGCTGTGGCTCAGCGGTACAGCACTTGCCTAGCACGTGTGGGCCAGGGTTCAATGCTCAGCACGACAAAACCACAGCTTTCAAAGGCACCCGCCTTGGACACCACTGTCTTGTTCCCTTTGTCCTGCCCGGCCCGGTGTCCTCGAGAAGTTGTTAGGAAGAGGGAGAGAAGGAGGTCAGGTAGCAGAGGAGAGGAAAAGGAGGAAAAGCAAAGTTCTGTTAATTATGAACTGATCTGTTCCCCACCTTCAGATGACCTGCCCAAAGCCGGGGTGGGGGGGTGGGTGGGGCAAGTGTTGGCTCTAAGGCCCCCGCCGCCTCCTGCCTGGGGGTGTAGTGAAATATGACGAAGGTGATGCTCCCAAGGCAGCTGCGGCTCCCTCCAGGCGACAACGCTGGCCATCTCCCAATCTGAGCTGCCCCGGGATGCCCCTGTGGCTCCTGGCCAGTAGTGGCCTGCTTACAGTCCTGCCACAGGGCACAGGCTGAGAGGGGAGGAAGGAGATGCGGCACAGTGAGGTCTCCCGTGCCACCAGGGATCGTCCCAGAGACACTGAACTCAACAGGACACAGGCACAGAATAAGGGAGGTGGGGTCTTCTGGGTACTGGAAAGAGAACCAGGCCCTCACCAGCTGTCCCCTCACCTCATGCCACGGCTGGGTTGTTTTGTTTTGTTTTTTTTTTTTTCTGCTGATCCTAGTCAGGGCCAACCAGGCCTCGGCTGCCAAACCATGGCTCTGAGTGGTCACTGACAACAGGAGCTCTCTGATGTTTCTTATGCTGGAGCTGCTACTTATTACTGAATCCAAGACCAGGGATCCTGACCAGGAGGAGGAGAGGATCTCTAACGTAGCTCAGGCTCTCTTACTATCAACACTGACCTGATCATGAGGGAGGAAAGAGGGCAAGATGGGGATGACCCTAAGGTCCAAGTGGGCCTCTGTCAGCCAGTCAGGTTAGCACTTTGATACTGAGCCAGTATCAGTCTCTAGCCATTAACCCGTGAGGCCCAGGGTTCTAGTGACCCAATGCAGGAGAGAGTCTCTGTCCTTGTCCTCACCACTTCAGTCTGGGTGGAAAGGACACAAAGGTGGTGACTGTTTATGCTCCGGGGAACCTGGCTAGGCCTCAGCTGATTGCTAAGCAATCTGCAGGGCTGGTCATTACTAGAAGCCACTCCAGGCCACTTTAGTTTCCACCTCCTTCCCGAGGACAGTGAGGGGAAGACATACTCAAGTTTCCCAGTGGGCTGTGAGGAAAACATGGTGAGGTCACAATACTCTGGGACCGGAGGCTGCTTCTGCACCTATGATGTTTCTAGCACCAGGTGCTTGGTGACTCGGGACCGCTCTGGCTCCACTGATCACAGGAGGTGGGCTGGGACAGGGGAGAGAGTCCTGTCCACTCTGCCGTTCACTTGCTTGGTCAAATAAGTTGGATAAAATAAAGTTAGAGCTGATCTTTTGTCCTGCAGGAATTCCAAGAGCCTTTGCCACCTACTTTGCACTCTGCGTCTCCAAAGGAGTCCCCTAACAGCCCACTTGGCCATGGGACCCTCTTGGAATTGAGAGGCCCACCAGGGCCTTGCGGGCAGGGTCAGTGCAACGCTGACCTGGAGCCCTTCGGTCCCCTGTCTTGGTCCGCTGATTCTCCCTGGGTCCTGACACACGGGGAGGTGGCGAGGATGGTCAGGATTCCTACAAGAGCCTGTGCCCACCGCGGCCGTCCAGCTAAGGGCAACCCTCGGCCTGGGGGCACCCGAGGGCGTCTCTCTGCTTCTGTTGTTTAAAGGCCCCACCTGTCGCCCAGGTCTGGCTTCTTCCTGTTACCTCAGGTCTCCCTCCCCCGCCTGCCCTGGCCGTGAAGGGCCTTTGCCCGCTGCTCTGAGGGCAGGTGCCCAGCATGGAGGGTCAGAGCGAGCTTGGGCAGGGGGTAGAGTCCCTGCTGGGGTTTTTCTTTCTTTGCTGTTAAAAATTATTGCCTCCTGTGTTGCTAGGTCAACTCCAGGGGCTGCATTGGATCGGGGTGGCCAGGGCCTGGGAGGGGACCCGGCCCAAGGGCAAGCACAGCACTAAGGAGAGATGTGGAAACTGTGGAAACTGGGGCACAGACGTCACTGGTCGGGGCAGGGGAGCCAGCGAGGGGACGGCGGGTGTTGCGGTCTGTCTAGAGGCCGATGTCGGGGAGCCGGGCGGCTCTCCAGGGCCCACCTCTCATTCAGACAGCGCTGGGGTCATGACGAAGGACAGTGGGGACACATGGAGATGGTCAGTCAGTTCCTGGGTCGAAGACATTTAGAAAGTGTGTTCTCGGGCCCTGCCTCCTCTTCCTGCCAGGAACGAAGGCCGAGGAGGAGGCTGCCCTCCGCCCGGCGGGGCTAGTCCGAGAAGAGGCTGGCGAAGGACTTCCTCAGGTTGCGGATGGTCTCGGCCTTCGCCTCGTCCTCACTCGGGGTCCCGCGCTGGGAGGTGTCCGAGGTGCTGAGGCTGTTAGTCAGGGACTGAGATTTGCTGCAAGACAGAGGCCAGGAGGTTGCGGGGCCAAGGCCCGGGCTCCCGAGGACATGGGCCTGGGGCTGTCCCAGAAGCCAGAGGCCTGAGAGACCAGAACCCAGGTGTGGCAGCCCTTACCTGGGACTGGTGGGGATGTCACACAATCTGCAAGCGCTTGCTGAGATCCCCGCTTGTTAGGTACAGTGGCAGAGGCAGGTCTTGCTCTGGTGGACTCTCACAGCCAGAGGGGGCCGCCCCCAGGGCTCAGCTCCTTCCGCTCACCCAGGCTGCCCAGGCAGCAGGCCTCGCCAGGGAGGCCGGACCTCCCTAGGGAGGCCAGACCTCCCCCGGCCTGTGTGCTCAGACGTCCTGGGCCAACTAGGGTGCCCCACAGTGGGAATCCAGATCTGACCCTCTGGGCTTCTGTTCCCACCTCTTTCCCGAGGCCTTTACTGTTGCCCCCACCCCCACCATTTTGGAATTTTCATGGTCCCAGCTGTTGGGACCCCAGTGCTTCACAGGAGCTGGCCTGCAGCCATCCTGCTGAGCCCTTCCTGTGTGCCAGCCCCGGGGCCAGCTGATGGGGTGCAGGGACAAATGCAGCATGCCCTACCCTTGAGACCTTCACAGTCCAGGGGAGGTGACATAGGATGGGACGATGTGGATACGTCACGAGTTTAAAGGGTCTGCACACCGTCTTGTCAACACATTAAAAAATGGAGATAACTCTTCCAAGTGGGGACTAGTTTTGCCCCCCGCTTATGACCCCACAAAAGCCTTATCCAGGATGAGGCCCAGAGTGGGTATCTGGTAAATATCTGCCAACTTGAACTAAATAAAACGATACTCTAGGGCTACGGGTGTAGCTCCGTGGTGGAGCACTTCCTAGCATGCACAGGGCCCTGGGTTCATCCCCCAGCACTGCCAAGAAAATAAAGATGAAAAAATAATAAAGGATATGCTAAACAAGGAGTCAGGAGACGTATGGGATTCCAGCTAGATGACCACAAAGCCAGTGCCCAAACTGGCTCAAGTTCCAAAGCTCTCGCCTGCCCTGTGAATAGCTGCGGTGATCTTTGTACACGGGGACAGGCCGCGCATTTCCAAGCTTGCCTGGTGCCTTAACATTCTAAGCACACACTGTGCAGAAACTCATTTCATTCTTACAATAACCCCGTGAGATACTGTCTCCATTTGCATGTGAAGACACTGTAGCACAGAAAAGTTGAGCAATTTATTGGAGGTCATTCAGCTTTTAAATGGTGGATCTGGGATTGCAACCCAGGCAGTCTGATTGTAGAGCCTGTGCTGTCAGTTACCTGAGGGTCACTTGTTAATATCTATCAAACTGGGTATTTTTTTTCCCCACAGTGACAAGGAGTCAAGAGATTTATGAGTTTCTAGCTAGATAAACCACAAAAAAATAGATGTTCAAGATTGAAACATTGTTTAAATTAAAGCCAGATATTTACTTAAGTGGACTAATTAGATAATCATAGTACAACAATGTAGTGGAATACTATACAGCTATTAAAAATCTCAATGAACAGGGTGGAAGAGGTCTAGGTTGTATTGTTACTGAAAAGTAAGAAGCCTAGTGGTGTGGATAGGGCCATAGTGTAAGAAAGCGAGGAGGGGATCAGAGGGTACATATTTCTATTTGTATAAGGAAACACTGGCAGGACAGACAAGGAATCAACAAATATGGTCATCTCTAGGGACCAGGGGAGCAAAGCACTGGATGGGAGTGGGGTTGGTGTGAGGCTTTTCAATGTCTATCTTTTATATCATTAGTGTCTTTAAAATCTTTGAACCATGTGAATATATCACCTATTTGAAAAAAGAAACCATGTTATCACGGATGCCTTGGGTTCTGTCCTCACCCTTCTATCTACGAACAATGGGAACTCGGCCAAGTTCTGCAGTCTCCTTCTGCTTATTCATCTGTACGACGGGGATAGTGAGAGTCTTTAACTTCTAAGCTCACGGGGACCTAAGAAAACCCAACCTCACAGAGTGCTTGGCCCCGAGCAAGTGGGCGGTGGTGTGGTCTGGGGAACTGTGATGATCGCTGTTCGTGTCCAGGTACAGGGACAAGTTTCCAGGAGCCACATGATTGGGATCCCTCTTCCTGTAAACTAAGAGCGAGCCCTGAGGGGAAGCAGGATGTGCGTGTGTGTCATGAGGGTTATTTAAAAAATGACCAGGCCGGGCTGGGGTTGTAGCTCAGTGATAGAGCACTTGCCTAGCATGTGTGAGGCACTGGGTTCGATTCTCAGCACCACATATAAGCAATTAAGTAAAATAATAACCATCAATAACTAATAAAAATATTAAAAAAAAAATGACCAGGTTCCTCCCACCCTGTGGGCCACCCATTTGCAAGGTGCTTCCTTCCGCCAAGACTCTTTCCCCACCTTGTGAATCTGGGCACGGCCAGGTGACCTGCTTGACAAGGGCAGGTATTCAGCTTCCCAGCCGGGTCCCCAACGCCTCAGGCCTCTACTTTTGCCCTGTTAGAAGCAATCCTACCAGGCGAGGAGGAGATGCCCTGGAGACAGGGCCAGCTGACTGCCAGCACCACCTGGCCCCAGTCAGTCCACCAATCCACAGGAGTGACCCGGGGAGGAGGGCTGCCACACTTGGCAGGGAGGAATTCACGTCACCCAATTCAATTTACATTTCAGGCGAAAAGCAAGTATATATTTTTAAAGTATCAACACACCCCATGCAAATACCCCAAATGATTCACGGTTATCTGAAATCCAAATCTACCCTGGTATTCTTCATGGTACCCGGAAGTTCTCCAGGAGACACAGCAGAAGAATCGTCCAGCTGTGTTAAACTCAGAGTAAACTGCCGAACCCCCAAATCGTGAACAAAGGAAAATGGTTGCTTTCTTAAGCCACAAAGTTTGGGGGAGGTTTGCTAAGCAGCAAGAGGTGACTAGTTCATGGCTTCTGGAGGGGCACACTGGAGCCCTTCCCCGTCTCCCTGGGCCCTGCCCCACCCAGGCAATGCCCCAGACCAATTTCCTCCCATTTAAAGCCCAGGAGAAAGGCCTCATGGGGTCTGTCTTTGCTCTGAGTCCCTGACCCTGAAGAGCCCGGCACCCAATCTCCTGCTCCCAATGGCCAGAGCACTTACTTGAGATGGGGATGGGGTGGTGCTGTCTTCTTGGACTCGTCGCCCTGCTGGGAGGTGCTGCGGCCCTGCACGGGGGGCCGGGGCTGCGAGGCGAGGCTGGTGCCCAGCTTGGAGGCCTGGTTCGGGGAGCTGCCCCCAGATGCCCGGGAGAGCTGTGGAGATCCTGGCGACCGCTGCTGCTGTGGGGATCCAGACTGGGGGCTCAGGGGTTGCTGGCCTTGCGGGGAGAGCCTCTGTTGGGAGGGGCTTCCGGATCTGGGGGTCTGAGGAGACTGGGCTTGACGAGGACCCCCTGCAGGCCGAAGGAAGGGTTAGGTTCGCATTCATGAGGCTCAACAGGGCTGTGCCCAAATTGTTGTTTACAACAGTAAACACTGAAAACGAAATAAATACAAAGCCATAGGAAGTCTTCAGGTGCCCCGAGGCGCATCTGTCCAGTGGAAGAGGCTGGGGTCATCATATCGTAGGATGTGGCAGAATAGCATTAAGTGACAGGGATGCTATTGATGGTATATGCTGAACACATACTGCTAATAAAAGTGGCTTATATGACAGCATAGATGTTTTATTCTTTTGGCACAAATACATAAAGCTATGTGGAAAAGAAAGATTGAAAGTTGTTCATAGAAAGTTGTTCATAGAATCCCTGGGCCTAAAACTCCAATGTGCCCATGGATCATTGGGGATCTTGTCAAAATAAAGAACTTGACACAGTAGATCTGGGCTGGTGATGCGGACCACATCGTGTACCCCCAGATTGGTACGTTGAAGCCCTAACCCTCAGTGTGACCGCTTTTGGAGGTGGGGTCTTTGAGGAGGTAATTAAGGGTGGAGGAGGCTATCAGGGTGAGGGCTGGTCAAGTGGGTGGGGTCCCCAGAAGAAGGGGAAGAGACATCAAATGTGGGTGTGCGGCTGGGGAAGAAGGAAGCAGTTGCCGTCTGCCAGCCAAGGAGAGAAGCTGCACCCAGAACCAGACCTGCTGACACCTTGGTCTTGACCTTCCAGCCTCCAGAGCGTGAGAAATAAAGCTGCTGTGATCTACGGCCCTGTCTACGGCTCTTTGTTGTTACGGCAGCTGGAGCAGAAAACTGCAGGCAGGACCCGCAGATCTGCGTCTCCTACAGGTTCCCAGGTGATTCTGCAGCTTTGAGTTACAAGGCCCTGAACATGACCGCAAAGGCGGGGGTCATGAGGGACTCGGATTCTTCTCTTGCTGTTGAGCAGGCAGAAGAGGTGTGGCTTTGAATCATCCCTGAGTTTTGGGATTGCTCTCTACATTTTTCTAAGAACTTTCGAGAAACTGGTGGAGAAGATGCGACTCTGCTCTTTGTGCAGAGGTGGAGACACAGTCCTTCCCTTCCCAGGGCTGCCCTGAGTCCTCACGACATCTTTGTGTGAATTAAGAAAATTTAGCTGCTTTCTCTGGTGGCAGCAGCTCTGGCCAGGTGCAAAGGGAACAAGGACTAGATTTTAGCTGACCCTTCCCCTTGGACACGGAGCCAGTTGGGCACATTTGCCGAGGGCATGACCTGTCTGACTGGTGGCCCTGACTCTCTGCTGGCCCCAGGAGCCCCAGGAGCCCCAGGTCCTGACTCAAGCCTTGTCAGGAACTTGCCACGTGACTGTGGGGAAGTCACACAATGAAGTCATTGGGCCATACACCAAACAGCCCTCCCAATTAAACATTTTTGTGTGCGTGGGGAACACTTTCTAAATTGGATTAAATTACAACCCCAGTTTAGCAAATGATGGCATGTGGCTTTGAACCTTGACCTCTTTCATGACCGTAGATGGGAGGACCCCTTGATTTCAAACTCCAACACCTCCGGGCCAGGCGGGTATGTAAATAAACAAAGTGGAGGAGTGTCAGAAAAATAACTGCTTTAAAAAACCCTTCCCTCTGGACATAATAACAGTTCAGAGAACTTTCTCTAAAGAGGTGCGAGCCTAAAGAAAATAGCCATTGACCGCCTGTCACCCTGGAAGTGACAACACAGAGGAGCAGGGCCTGAGGCAAAGGCAGAGTCCTTGCTGGGTCCAGGGATCAGCCCTTACTAGCCTGCAGCTGATGGCTCTATGTAGGAAGGCAGACTCACTGTTTCTAGAATTTCTGTATCTGTCATTCTAGTGGCTTGGGAGGCTGAGGCAGGAGGATCAAGAGTTCAAAGCCAGCCTCAGCAACTTAGTGAGGCCCTATGCAACTCAGGGAGACCCTGTCCCTAAAATAAAAAGGGTGGGGGGGGGGAAGGCTCTAGAAATTGACAGGGGGGGAGGGTGGGAGGCTTAACATAAAATCTAGATGTTTAAGTAAAAGTTCCCGATTTTTAAATGTTGGAAACTGTTTTATTTCTAAACCCCCTGCAGGTCAAATAAAACATCATGTTTTCTACATGGTTCTTAAACTCCATCCCCACCCTGGGCCAATAATATTTTGAAAACTCTGTGTGCTCAACTCATCAACTTTAAGTCTCTATATATCCCTTGGATTCATTAAAAGACACCCTCGTTATTTCTTTTAGTTTTTTTTTTTTCGGAAAAGCATACAATTTAGCATTTTTTATTTGAGCACAGACACAAAATATTATGTATAAAAAGTCTTTGCCGAATCACAGGATTGCTGCTAGAAAGCAAAGTTTATTGAAAGGAAACCTTCACTGTTACTGAGTTTGAACAATAATGTGATCTTGTCATTGGGGGAAATTGGTGAAAACCTCAGTCTTCAATTAGGCTTGTTTGAGAAGATAAATTAGCCTTGTTATTTTTAATCCGGATTGATAATTCTTGGAGCGTTTTCTTTAGTTACCTTAACTGGTTTTAAATCGATTATTTTTCAACGGACTAGAAGTGTGTTGAGCTGCATGTTCCTTAAAATAATCTCTCTTTATCCGGCGTGTTTCTGCTCTGGGCAGAGAGGAAACCACAGTCAGTAGCTCTCTGTTTTGAAAGGGGGCTCTGTTCAAATGTGTTTTTTAAAAGTCAGACCCGGGCATAGTGGGAAAGAGGGGGCAGGCAGAGCAGGCCAGGAGGCTGGGGGGTGACGCGTGTTGTTTGGAACATTTAGAACTAGGGAAGTCTTGCGAGGCAGACAGAGGGGTTGCGTGAGGTACAAGGATCCTTGATGATAACCAAGAACAACCTGGTTTTTAGATTTGTGAGTAAGACAGGTTACTACCAGTCAGAGGTTCGGAATGGTTGTTGACAGTGCGTGACAGTAGGAAGAGCTGATGTCTTTAGGCCTGCTCTCTCTGTCAGACACCTCGCTAACTTCTTCACCCGCATTATTCTGGGGACAGTTCCTCATCAATACATGTGACCACTGCTTTGTCCTCCTTTATCACTGAGGAAATTGAGGCTGGGAGAGGGGATGACGTGAGGTCACTGGGGTGTGTTCTTGAAGGGCCTGTTGGGACCCCGGACCCTTCTTCTCTCTCTGCCTCCTTGACTTGAGGGGAACAGGCTTCCTCAGCTAAGTCCTCCTGCTGTCCTGACGGACTGTGCCCCGGGCCCCAAGCACAGGCGCACATGTAGTTAACATTCAATAAATGTGGCTTTCTTTCAGCCCTGGGGTTGAACTCTGGGGGTGCTCTACTACTGAGCCACATCCCCTGCCCTTTTTATGCTTTATTTTGAGACAGGGTCTCTTTAAACTGCTGAGGCTGGCTTTGAATTTGTGATCCTCCAACTTGCAATCCTCCTTCCTCAGCCTCCTGCGTCCCTGGGATTACAGGCGTGCAGTACCCTGTGCGGCCCTAGTGTTACTGTTTTAAATTGTAGAGGGAACTGAGCATCAAAACTCTGGGGATTTGTCAGAATAGAGAATGAGAGAAAACTTCAGGACAAAGAAAAAGACAGGAGCAAGAGTAAGCGGGGAAAGCCTTCTCTGGCCTTTACAGTGGATGTGAGTCTGAATAAGCCATTGTACTGCGAGACCATGCAACTACAGACACGGAGGCTGAAAGGTCAACTAGCCCAGCGTTTTGACAAGTGTGGTGATTTTTAGTCTGTGGTCAAATATAATTTCGATAATTGTGCATATATTTTGGAGTGTATCGGGGGGAAATAGTGAACATCAAATTCATTTATGTGAAAAAGTGAGATAATATAAAAGAATACACTGAATAAATGACAGTAACAGAGAAAGGGAGGGAGGAAGGAGAGGAGGAGGAAGGAGAGGAGGAGAGAGGAAGGAGAGGAGGGAGGAAGTCCTGAGGAAGGAAGGGGCAATTTTCCTTAGATTTATGGAAGAGGAGACCATCTGCTGCCTAAGGTTGATTTTTTCCAAGAAGCAATACATGTATTGTGTTCACGATTGTGGCTGGGAGGCCAGACGTGATAGAAGCTCTTTCTTTCTGGTCAATTTTAAAGCAGATCTTTAGAGATTGCAAGGAAGCTGCCCGGCCTGGTGGCTCCCTGCAGAGCTTCTCTGGAGCTGCCGTGGACCCTGGACCCCAGGAGGGCAAGAGAGCAAGGAGGGGTTTCCTCCCTGCACCTGCTGGCTGCATGGGAGAGCACCTGGGCCGCACAGGTTCCCGGGAAGTGCTCCTAGCTGTTCTTGCCATCTGGTCTCATGGTGGTATCCATACTTATCCGTCCCCTGACAAAGGTGGCATTTATGTAGTACTGCTGGAATGTTTTTGAGGAAGGATTTCATTTGACAAGTCATGTCTTGTGTTCTGCTTTTTCTCCTCTCTCACTCCAGCAGGTTGGCTCATGCATCTGGGAGCTAGAAGTGAACACGTTCTAGAAGGTCTAAAAGGCCAAACTGTCCATCTGCCAATTGCTTCTGCCTCCCTGGGCAAAGCTTCCACGGCCATCGCAGAACAAAGGAAATACGGATGTCTCCCCCGTGGAGAGCTTGGGAGGCTAGAAAGTGCCTAGCCCCGTGCACAACCCGCACTGAAACGCAGGTCTACGTTCTCTTTCCTTCCTCCTTCCCTGTCGCTAAAGGTGTGTCGTGACGCACCTCACGGTCGGTGTGGAACAGGTGTAGTGTTAAGATGGATTCTTCCAGGGTGCCCTCTGGAGATCCCGTGCGCCACCCTCGACATCCTCCCTGAGGTTCCAGGGCTGTCCTGGCTCTTACCTTGTGGAGGTGGGCGTGGCTGGGGCTGTCCCAGCTGAGGCCCCAGCTGGCCTGGCCCAGGGGATTTTGCGGGTTTGGTCTGCGGGGCCTAAAGCGGAAGAGAAAGGAAGTCTGTTGCCATCCCCGTGGCCATTTCCTTCCTGGGTGGCGCCAGCTTTGGAGAGAGGGTCCTTTACTGAGGTGAGACCTAAATGCAGGCGTTCTTAAGTGTTCTGTGTAACAGATCTCACACAGGTACGTGTTGGGGTGGCCACTACCCAAGACAGAACATTCCAGAGCAGAAGGCCACCCGTGCCCTCCTCAAGTTCAACCATCAACCTGACATCTGTGATCATGATGAGGTCTTGTGGGGACAGCAGGATCTGGGTGGGGGCAAGAGCAAGTCTCGGATGAGACTGCAGCCAGAGGGTTCTCTGCAGAGTGGGTGGGTCCTCCTTGGTGGGGGCTGTGAGGGGAGGAGCCTTGTGGGAGCTTGTCAAATTTGGGGTTGGGGGCTCAGGAGCACAATAGTCTCCATCATCTGTGCCCTAGGAACACACAGGGGACCTGTGAACACAGGCTCTTGTTCAGGCCCAGGATGCGGGCAAGGGATTGTGACAGCTGTCAGTGCTCTCTGCCCACAGGTGCCTGAAGGCCAGGTGGGACCAGATCTCTCTCTCCAGTAGGGAGGAGGGGCCCCTAGAGACGTCCTGAGTCCCCCCATGGGGACGCCCACCTCTTCCCACCTCATTCCTATCTACCCACTGTGGCTCCTTCCCTGGGATCCCTCTGTTGGATCGAGAGGCTCCAAGTCCAGACATCCAGCATGTTCTTTATTCTGGAGAATCTTACCCATGGCTTCAGGGGTGAGGGTACTGTGCCCCCTGGCATTAGGAATTGGCTCATTTTGGAGACAACGAGGTCAGCCATCAGCTGCTTGTCCTCTTCCACATGCTCCCCGATCAGGGGCATTGAGCTGTCCATTACCTGTGGGAGAGAAAGGAGGGGTGAAGGACCCCATGCCTGCATAGCGGAGGCAGCAACGTCCAGGAGCAGCCCTGGGCTCAGGACCGAAATGACCACTAGATGGCGATGTCCTCCATGCAAACCACCCAGCCCTGCACCTCCAGCTGCAACTGGGCTCCTCGAAGACATTCTGTTCCCCCCTGTTCAGTCTAAACCAGCTCCCTGGGTTCAGCTCTGGTCTGCCTACAGATGTTGGACTAGGGCAACGTGACCATGACCCAGGCTGGGAGTCTTTGCTGACCTTTTCCGTATTTTTCTTTGGGGAGCTGGTATCCGCCCCCTCCTTTCCCACTGGGCCCCCTCCAAGGGTTGGGTCTGGCCTCCTCTCCTCTGGCCCAAGGTCAAGACTTTCCACAAAGCCGGAAACAGTAAAGGTGGGGGCTCCATCAGGACCAAAAAAAAAAAAGGGGGTGGGGTGGGGGTGGAGGTTGGAATTGACCCAGGGTTCAGAGAGAAGAGGAAAGAGGGGAGGGTTGTTCTGTAACACGCAGGCCTGGGGCCAAAGTCACTCTGCAGAGACCTGGCCTTTCTCTAAGGAGACAAAGAGGTGGCCTGAGAGGTGAGGACTGCCATTCTGCTCTTTCTACAGATGGAGAAACTGAGGCCCAGGGATAGAAGGGATTTGCCTGAGGCCACATAGGACAATGACCCGGGTGAGTCCCTGGGCAAGGGCAGCTATGGAAGGCCCTGAAGGAGCGTGGGCCTTGGCAGGCCTGTGAACTAGCTGTGTTCTCACCCTGTCTCTCTCTTCTACCTCTGGAATCCAGCCGCCAGTGTTCACCTGCTCCACCCACCTCAAACCTCCGGACTGCTCTCCCCTCGTCACTGGCTCTGGACCAACCAGCTTCTCGTCCTCTGGGTCCTCATGTTCATGATTTGCTCTTCCCACTCCTGGTGGCCTGGGTAGCTGCTCCTCCCTCAGGGAGCACCTAGCCAGCCCTTCCTCCCGGAAGCTGTCTCAGATGGAGGGAGCCAGCTCTGGGAGCTGATGCTCCTTCTGCCCTCACTGGTTGGCCCACTGGAGAGCTGTGCTATGGGCTGTGAGGTGGAGTGGGGGGACGGAGGTCCTGCAGCCGCCCGCTCATCATGCTAGGGGTGGGGCCTGCCCCGTTGCCTTGGGCACTTGCCAATCTCAGTAGCTCTCCGAGGCAGGTCTTGTTAGTGTCCTGATCACGGTGGTGGGGAAACCGAGGCTCACAGAAGTGGCACCTTCCTTGTCACCAGGAAAACTCTCACCGGCTCTCCAGGGTCAGAACCCAGAAGAGGCAACAAGGGTTCCAGGCCTGGTTCTGCCACAGACTTGCTGTGAGACCCTGGGCACGTCACTATTCCTCGGTGGGGCTGTTTTTCCCTTGGTGATAGACTGAGGGGTTTGAGCAGCTGCGAAGACCCCTCCAGCTGGACCGGCGGGATCTGTGAGTCTAAGGCACCCCCTGAGCCTGGGAGGCTGTGAGGCCGACTGCCCTGCGGATTCCTGCAGGGGCCTGAACACTCCTCAGGGGCTCCTGGTCTGTGCCCAGGTCTGCGATACCGGGATCCCAGTGCCCGCCACATGGACAGTCTGGGTTACAACAGCTGTGTTGAGTTACAGCTCTGGAGTCTGTCCCCGGCCTGTCCTGTCCTCTCCCCCTGACCCTGCCTACCCTCTTTTGGCCTGGTGCGTTCTCCACATTCTCTGCAATGGAAAATAGTGACCACGCAACCTCAGGTCACACAAGTTTGGAATCCCCACAGTGGACACAGCCGAGGAAAGTGGACACTTGGTGTCCCCAGGGAGACATGCTTCCAGTGAGCAATGTCATTGCCTGGACAGGTCAGAGAGGGCCTTTCCCCCGGGGATTTCACTGTGAGGATCCTCACCAACCATCACAAACGCTCTGTTCTCCCCACAGTGGTGGCTAGGAATCCATAATTTTGGATCTCTCCTGCCTTTTTCTTTCCTTAATAGGAAAAAAAAATACCTTTTAATCTTAGTGGCAAGCTTCCCCTCTCCCCTGATCCTACCCCAAACCCAAAAGGAAGGGGAACAACCCCGTAATGTTTCTGAGAGAAAAGAAAAAAAATAATTCGAAAGCCACTTTTTTCTGGAACATTTTTGAGAAGCTGTTTTCTTGTGTCTTGAAGTCCAAGCCCACTGCTTCTCTTTCTTTTTGATTTGTTTTTTGTTTTTAATGTGAACAGTCTTTCATCCCTGAATCTGTGGGGGCAGGAGCCTGGGCCCACGGGTGCACATTTTTCCTTCCTAAGAGTGAAAGTTGAGAAAACCCGGAGGGGCAGGCCCTCGGGGGACCCCTAGCTGCCACTTATGGATGGCGGCAGGGCCTGGGCGGGCGTCTGGCGTCCCCGGGGAGATGGGAGCGGGAGGGCCCGTGGGGTCCCAGGAGCTCTGATGTCCCAGGCAGAGGAGCTGTCACCCCGCGCTTGCTCAGAAGCTCCCAGGGTCTCCCCAGGAAAGTGGGGGACTGGCCCCTCCAGGGTACTGTGTCCCTCAGTGATTCTGTCCCTGGCTCTTCAATATCTCCTCTGAGGAGGGGACACTGGGGAATTTGAGGGACAGTGACAGCCAGACGGAAAGTGTTCTTGCCCGGAGAGGAGCCCTGTTTCCAGGGAAGGGCTGGCTCTCCACGGTAGGGGCCACTCATCTGCAGGGAGCCTCCTGGGGGCGCTGGGGACGCTGTCCGTCCTGGACTCCCGAAATCGCCTCCCTGGTCACGTGTCAGTGCCCACTGAGTCACCTGGTCCTGCTGCACTGTGGCTCCCTGGGGAGCCTCGAAGCATGAGGGCCTGGGGGATGGCTGGCTCCTGTGGTCACCCTGGCCATGTGCTTCCCATTAGCGGCCCACGCCCTGGGGAGGGGGCAGCCACAGGCCTGGTGTCAGCACCGGCCTCCCCTGTGCTGGGGAAGTGAGTCTCACGGAGGGGGGGGGAGGGCGGTGTGTGCGTGTGGGGGGGCACGTGTGCGTGTGTGTGTGTGCATGTGTGTGTGTGTGAGCATGGAGAGCCCAGGCCAGAGTGGACAGCAGCGGACAGCAGGGCAGGGAAGGAGCTGAGGAGAGTGGGGAGGGCTGGGGACCAAGAGGGCCACGGGGAGCCACGGAAGTGGGGGATTGAGGGGTGGGGGGCTGTGCAGAAGGAGGGTCTTGGGGGGGCTCGCCGCAGCCCCTCTGGGGGTGTCCCTTACAACTTCGTTTCCCAGCATCTTCCCCCGTCACCCCTGCACACTGTGCCCTTCTGGACATTTGACACCCGTCCTTTACCTGTTTGTCACCCTCTGCCCTGTCAGCCTGCAAACTCCATGTGCCGTGGGTTCACTGCTGTGTCCCCAGAGCCACACGCCGAGCCCACAGGAGCCCCTGAAGCTCATATTTGTTGAATGAACAAATGACAGAGTCTCTGCATAGTGGCCAGGGGAGTGTGTCTACACGCTTGGACACGGAGGTCACTGACAGGGCCCAACGGGACAGGATCTTGCTGACTCTTGGCCTGCCACTCTTCTGTTAGGGTCACAGGCCGGGACAGCTGTTCAGCTGTGTCCTGAGCTCTGGAGGCCGAGCCCCTGATGCTGCTGAGGTGGGACGGGGCGTACGAGGGGCGGGCAGAAGCTTCTGGAAGCTGCTCACTACAGCCTGGGCTGCCTGTGCCAGGCCAGGCGCAGGCGCAGGACACAGCTGACCGTGCTGAAGCCAGGACTGGAGTCTCCCCTCTGGCGCCTGCCAGGTAGAGCCAGGCCGGGGACATCGCTTCAGGCCTCACCTCAATGATGTAGTCCCTGCCGTCCTTGCTGTGCACGGCCTTGACGGCACAGATGTCCAGCCCGCCAAACATTTCTGAGCAGCTGTCCACCCACAGCCTGTACCTGTAGGGGAGGACAGATGGACAGAGTGAGTGCTGGGGAGGGCAGGGGGAGGGGTCAGGGGGAGGGGGAGACACAGCCATGCAGAGGCAGAGAGTCCCAGCTGACAAAGAGGAGATGAGAGACTGTGAGGGGCATTCAGGAGAGACAGGGACACTGGGGGTGGGGGGGTGGGGGGACAGGGAGCCACGCTGGGAAGGAAGGCAGAGGGAGAGAAGGAGTGAGTGTCCATGATCTAGAGACCCTCACCCCTGCAACCCGGGCCCCGCCGGCCCCCCAGCAGTGGGGAGCTTGTCCTGCTCCTGCCTGAGCCTCTGCAGCCCTTTTCCCTTGGGAAAGCTGCTCCAAGGCTCCAAACATCCCCCTGGGACCAAGGCCTGCGGGGGACAAAGGGCGCATTCTCCCCCAACTTGGGGTGGGGGTGGCCGGGCGGCCTGGCAGGCTGCTCCCGCCTGGCCCCGGGGCCTGGGCCTCTGGACCCTCGGCTTTTGTTCCCTTTCCAGCCACTCCAAGGCTCCAAGGCCAGTTTGCTTTGCTGGGGACAGATCTCAATGCTGGACTTTGACCTTGCAACAAGGGGCCGGTTGTATCTGGAGAAATCTTCCCGCCTGCACTTGGCTTCCCTTGTGGGCTGGATTTGGGAGTCACAGGGGACTCTGTGTTAATGTTCTTGCTTCTCTCCCCACTCTCCAGGGTCACACGGGGCACGCCTGCTCTCAGATCTATTTGTGTCTCTGAGCCGTGAGGCCCAGAATGAGGAGGGATCATGGCTGAAGTGCTCTTAGAACTCACTCTCTTATGAGTGCCACTGAGGCCCAGAGAAGGAGGGCGGCTTGCCCAGGTCACACAGCAAGGCAGTAACAGAGCCAGGATTACCTAGGTCTCCTGGTTCCTGGCCGGGTTCTCTCATTCAGCCTCAGCGAGAGTGCAGCACGATTAAAAGGAAGGATCCAGGCCTTCTGTGCCTGGGGGACCGACTCCTCATTCCTACCACAACTCCATTAGGGAGGTTTCAACCCCCCTTTATTGATGGAGAAACTGAGGTTCAGAGAGATTAATAGAGACTGTGTGGCTTCCAGCCCTAAGTCCTGTCTGATTCCCGATCTCACGTAAGCTGCGCTTCCTCTCGCTCAGGAAAGCCACAGCCCTCCTGTCCCTCCTCAGTCCAGGAGGCAGGGACGTGGACTATTGCTACTATTTCCTCAGCAGTTTAGGATGATCCTTTCCCTCTTGCAGCCTCAGTTTCCTCATCTGTGAAATGGAGTGGCCAGATGGGGTTCTGGTTGTGTGCTGGAATCACTGGGAGCATTCAACCAACACTCAAACAAGTATCTATTTTTAAAACGCTTCTCATGTGAGTCTGATATGTGGTCACATCGGGAGGCAAACCTTGGAGGCTCTCAGAGTCCTCTGTGTTCTGATCAGGGTCCCTATATTCGGTTCCCAAGGCTCACTCGTGGGGCACTAGTTTAGGGACAGCTGCTCTGAGACACTCGTGAATCAGGCCTCTGACAATGGAAGAGGGATGTCTAGACCTCAGGCCAGAGGCAATTGGCTTCCAGAGCCTGTTTTCAAACCATGAGTATCTGGGTGGCCTTTGGCTGCACCCAGGCGGCCGGTAGCCAGGGTCAAGGCAGGGACTGCAGGGTGGAACCCTGTGGGAGAGGCTGGAGAGCGCGGGGTCCCTGCCCGCTCTGGCCGGGCAGGACTATCACCAACCCAGCCTCATCCCTGGCTTTGCCCAGGACTCAGCTACCTGGTAAAACCGTGAACCAGGCGGAAGTAGGGGCCAGAGCCTGGTTAAAGGGCCCCAGGGATTTTGGCCATGTGGGCATGGGACTGAACAGGCCCTGGGGTACTGCCCTTGACCCTAAAGGGAAAGTGAATTCCAGGCCAGAGCAGCCCCATTCCTATGGTCGGTTCCTGCAGAAATGGCCCTTGTGGCTTGGGGCCAAGCAGAGCCAAGAAGATGGTGGCTTGCTGCGGACATCCATGAGCAGCTTGGGAGGCCCTGGGGAGGGCTGGGCTCCCATTCCTGAAAGGCTGTGGAGAAGGGATCCAGGAATGTCACATGAATACCCATGGGGAGAGGTGTGGGTCCACTCCAGTCCATCGGACTCCCTGGAGCCAGGTGATGAGCTCAGCCTCTCCAGGCTAGTGAGGGCAGGTGGGCTCCCAGGTAAAGGCAGCAGCTGCCAGGTAAGGTAGCTGGGAAAACAGGCTCTCCTCCCTGCCCCGGGCTGGACTGGGTCAGGCACTGCATATCCCTCTCTTCATCTTTGCTGGAGCACATAGCCTTCATCTTATAATTGAAGAAGTTCAGAACAGTTCAGAGCTTCTCCAAGGTCACACAGCATGGGTCAGGGCCACTCACTGCAGTTCATGGGGACTTTCTAGTCCTAGAACCGGGCCTAGCTCAATGACTGGCTCCCACTAGGTGCCCATCGAATAGCTGACAAAGAGATGAAACAAGTACCAGGTCCTCTGACTCCTCCATTCTTTAGGACGTCATCAGGCACCATGTCCTCGAGGGACCCTTGACCATTCCTCCCTGGTCCCCTCTGGGCGCCCCTTCTCTGAGTGCCCACTGCCGGCTTAGGGCTCCCTTCCGCCCTGTTCACCACCTCGCCCTCTAGTTGTTTCTTTGTCCCCGTTCTTAGTGGGGAGCCAGGGCAGGGGTGGCTGCTGGGCTCTGTCCCAGTCCGTGGGTCAGTTATTTTCCCTCCATTTAAAGACTCCTCGACGCCCCTCCGCACTGATCGGCCGCAGGGGGGCGGTCCCATCCGACCTCCAGGGGTGGAGCCTGGCCTGAGCCCATCCAATCACAGCACGCGGCCTTCTCGGGCACAGTGATTGGTTCAGGAAGGGTCACGTGCCTCAGCCCCGGCCAGTTAGTGACTAGGGCTCAGTCGCTGGCTTTTCGGTTGGTCCCTGGGGAGCTAGGTTTTCCGTCTGCCGGACCTGACACCCTGAGGGCCCAAGCCCGGAGGCTCCGGGGCCGCCATAGGAGAAGCACCCGCGGGAAACGCTCTCCTGAACAGGGTGGAGAAGGAGTGCCCAGGCCTCCCGGAGCCTGGCCCTCAGGAGGGGAGCCAATAAGTCCTCAAAGCAAGACCCCGTCACTTGGACCCTTCAAACGGATCCAGAGTTCTTAAAGGGAATGATTGGATCTTTCTACTGTGGCCTCTTTAGTGCTCAGCCCAGTAGGGCATGCAGTTGGCACTCAATAAATGTTTACTGAATACTTAGAGCTTTCTGACCCCAAAGCCCGCACTAAGTGCATTGCTACCGTGTACTTGTGAACAGAGGTCACCCGACAGGCAGGAAAGAATGTGGGTGATTGGCCCGGGAGCAGGTGACAGCCCTATTTCAAGTGAGGATGGCTTGCAGCAAGTGTTTGGAGGGAGAAAGGCCTGCATGAGGCGCTCAGCCAGAGTGCAGCCAGGAAACACTCGAGGAGGTCAGCCCTTCCTGCGGGGAGGATCAGGAATCTGGGAAAGGAGCGATTCCATTTCCCCTGGTGCCCTAAAAAGGGTGCTTCCTAAAGAGAAGCATGGGGACTCCCTGCTCCCTTCCCAGAGCAGTGGGCAGGGGAGGCTCTGGACAGGGTGGTGGCATGCTTCACAGGGCTCCTTGATGTCCCCTCCCAGGTCCTGCCACAGCGGCACACCTTGTCTCCCTGCTCCCCATCCGTCTCTTACCTCTCAGTCATGGCCACCTGCTCCAGCATGGCGGAGCCTGTGTTGGCCTTCCAGTTTCCAGAGATGGAGGTTCGCCTGTGTCCAAAGACAAAAACAGAACAAAACAAAAACAAAACCCAACAGTACATCAGGGACATTAGGGATCGCTGTCACTGGTCTATTTTCCTTCTTTGCTTTGGTTGTTAGGAGGCTCTGTTTCAAATATCTGGCTCACATTAGTTGTGGTATGCACCTTTTTGGTATGTACCCTGTCCTCAGCCTTTTTTTTTCCCTGTTTTTATTTCCTTTTATCCTGATTGCTTTATTTACTTGTGGATCTTATGTAACTGTTCTCTAGGAAGGTTTTGGAATATAAAGATCAAATTTAAAATATACTGATACCATCAGATAAAATCCCCCCAACCTTGGTGGTATAGGTTGGAGCTAAAGTGTTCCCAAGAGGCCCACATGCTAAAGCTTGGTCCTCAGCTTGGTGCTATGAGGAGGTGGAGGAATTTTTTAAGAGGTGGAGCTTCATGGAAGGAAGTTAGGGGGATACTGAGACACTGGTATTTTTCTTCCTTGGCTCCCTGGGTGAGCAGCCTCCTCTGCCATGTGCTTCTGTCACAATGTACTGTCAGCCCAGGCCCAAGGCAATAGGTCTAAGTAACCATGACATGAGATCTCTGAAACCAAGAGCCAAAATAAATGTTTCCTCTTTGTAGGTTGATTTAGCTCAGGTATTTTGTTACAGTAACAGTAAGCTGACTAATATACCTGGTGTCTCCTTTTTGAGGAGAACTAGGGCCATGTAGCTTCTGATGATTCTGGAACTTTTTGTGGGCCCCAAAATGTAGGAAGAATGATCCTTAGAGACAAGTGGTTACTTTTCCATGATGAAAAGCAGGACGTTCTGGCCTGTGCCTGATTTGACACCCTTCTCTGTTCCTTTTCTGCAGCTTGATCTGCTCCAGCAACACCTGACCTCCCTTCCCGTGCCCCAGTGCACATGGCCCCTCCCTAGGTCATGGCCTGCACACATTCTGCCCTGTACCCTGTGTAGCTTTTGCCTCCAGCTTGCCCACCCCACCCCAAGTTCTGATCATACTTAGGCTTCATCTGAAACATGCCTTCCCTCCAGTCTACGTTATCTAACAAACGAAGACTGCTTGGCACCACCCCCTGCACTAAGCTCTGCTGTGCTGATCCAGCTTGTAGTGATTGCTCTAGTGTCTTGTCTTTCCTGACGTGGGGATCCCCTGAGGGCAGGGGATCTGTTTCAGTGCATGCCCTGAACCCCCAGAGCCCAGTGGAACCTGGCATGTAGTAGGTGCCCAGTAGCTACTGAGTGAATGAAGGATAGTGTATGCTGTGGGGGAATCCAGAGAAGCCACCAACCACCACGGCACCTTTGCACCCACCAAAGACCCAGTGAGCTTAAGAAAATGGCAGAGGTGAAGCCGTCTGTCTGTCTTAGGGGCAAGTGAGGGTATGTGGTTGAGATCAAAGAGTGAACTGGGGAGAGGGATTGACCCAAGAATATGTCTATAAAGAGAAAATCAGATGTGTAAGTGCTGAGAATTCATGGCGGCCACAGAGTGGACACAAGTTCATTTTGGTTCCGTTCAGATCGACTTGATTCAACTCGGTTTGGCAAATGCTCACAGGGCCACCCTGTGTCCTGGGCACTGGATGAGTCTGAGTGTGCTGAGATGACTCCTTGGGCTGCTCACGGTCTTCAGGGTGGACCAGCCTTGGAGCCAGGGGCTAGTCACGGTGGGGTTAGCAATGGACACAGAGTTAAGGGCTCTGGGGAAGTCAAGGTGGTAAGAGAAGGTAAGAACTGATGGGAGTTATGCAGACGTGAGTTTGCATCTTGGTTCCAGGGTTTTCTAGCAATATAACCCTGGGCAGCATCTCGGAGTCTTTATATCCTCAGTGGTAAAATGGGAGTATTTGGAGTCCCAGCCTTGTAGGGACTTGTGTACGTGAAAGACCGCATTCCCATAGGCCTCCGAGCACAATGGGAGCTGCTATTATTTTTAGTAAGTGGACACAGGACAGGCAGGCAATCTAAGGACTGAAAACTAGCCAGATGGCGTTCCTTCCAAGAGGAGCGTGTAGTGATAGCTGATGTCTGAGGAATGCTTTCTGTATCTGAGACACGATCCAAGGGCTTTATAAGTCCTGGCCCATCTCAGCCTCTCCAAATCTCAGGGGATGGGCATTCTTCTCCTTTTTTCTCACTGTGTGGCAGAAGCCACCAAACTGTGTTCTTAACCTTGACTTGATCTTAACTTGTTCTTAACCCTGTCTTCTTAACCTTGACCTTGACCTTCCATGGTGGAGCCCAGGGGGCCCATCACAGAGGGAGGGAAGGAGGTCTTGTTCTTGGCCCGAATGTGACACTGTCCCTGGGATTAGGATGAATGGAGACTGTGACAAGAGCATCCACCTATACAACAAGTTGGCTTAGTCCACTTGGGCTGTAGAAAGAACAGAGATTCGTGTCTCCCTGTACTGGAGGCCAAGAAGCCAAGGTCAAGGTGCCAGCCCACTCAGGGTGCGGTGAGGACCCACTGTCTGGTCCCGTGCTGGAGGAGGCAGGGGTCTTTCTGAGCCCTCTTTAGAAGAGCATTAGAAGGATCCCATTCTTGAGAGCTCTGCCCTCCTGCTCCGATCCACTCCCAAGGTCCCTCCACCTCATGACATCACCTTGGGGGTTGGGATTCCACACGTGACTTTTGGGGGACAGAAACATTTAGAGCACAACATAGGGCTATGGTCTAACCTCATTGGAGCAGGTGGAGGAAGAGGTGCTGAGTGACTTTGGACCGAGTGGGGACAGTGTGACTGAAGATGAGAGGTACTGCACCTGGCTGTGTGCTACGGTGGGTAAAGTCATCTCCACGGCAATGGGTGGATGGGCTGGAACTGGACACATAGATAGATAAGTCAGTGGATGGCTGATGGGGGGAGCCAGGATCTCCTCTGTTGGAGTGGGAGGGTGCAGATAAGCAGTCAAGAAAAGGCCAAGAGGAACCACATCATGCCAGATAAAAGTCACAGACATCGGTGGGACTGTTTTGAGCTTAATGTCCATAGGATGGCTATGTAGAGAAATGATCGTGGACATACATGTTCGTGTGGGTGAGGAGTCACACTCCTATTTCTTTGCCATATCGGACGAGAGAATCTAAAAGCTGTGACACCTTAGTAGCAGCCACCACAGCCTGCCCCGGGTGCAGGGCAGGATGTGGGCCATCGAGGAGGCTGAATGGTCAGGGCAGGGAGGACATTCCTCCCTGAGCTCTGGCGTGAGCCGCCTTCCTTGGATGTGAACAGCCCAGGGTCCAGGAAGCGCCACGGCATGTGCCAAGTCGGAGCTGTCAGGCCAGCGAGGCTCAGATGAAGAATGGGGCAATGAGGTCATCCTCAAGAAAAGAAACTGGGACAAGGTGTCGTCAACGTCAAGTGCCAGCTCCAACAATGCAGACAGGAGGAAATGATATCATGAGGGCTGGTGGGGGCCTCAGGGACGTCGGGTGGCCTTGCTGCATGTGGCGTGACTCAGAGGGGCAGGGAGGGGATTTTATCACCCTGAGGACATCTGAGAGCAGTGGCAACTCTGGCTCTCCCTGGGGCTGGGAGAGGGTGATTGACGAGGCAGGAGAAGGATTCCTTCAGCAGGGGCGCCATCCCTTTCCTGGGACTATCTGCCATCATCTCCCCCAGTGCCCCAGGCAATGGCAGAGTGCAGTGGTGACAACAGAGACGGCAGGGTCCTCAGAGTCTGACATCACCATCTGGCCCTTCACACAGGTCTGCTGACCCCTGGCCTAGGCCATCCAGGTGTTGCAGAATCAACTCTCGGCAATCCAGGGGCAGACCTGCATGGCCGAGAACAGCAAGACTGTCTTTACAGAAACAGGAGGCAGCTGGATTTGGCCCGGGGACTGTGACTTGCTGACCTGACCCTGGGCACTTGCTGTCCTGTATGGAAACATGTGGACAGAAAACCTTTCCAACTGTCTGGGACAACCGTTGAGGCTCACCTACAGAGCCACGCAGTCCGAGCTCCGTACACCCTTGGCGGTCAGGCTCTCTGGGTCTCATCATTGCAAGTGGAACATTCCAAAGTGAAGACAGAAGTGGCGTAACAGCTGAGTCCTCTCCAAAGAACGAGATCTGGCTACTCCAGAGCTCTTACGGCCTCAGCCCTGGGGGGTCCAGCACTGCTGAGCCACGTCAGGGGTGCAGGTGGGCTGGGTCCTTCTGTCTCTCATTTCTTCCTTTTCCTTTAGATACGGGACCTCCATTCCCACTGGGGAATGGCCCTGAGCGCATGGCACACCTCCCCTCTGGGACGCCCCTAGGGGTTGTCTGCCTTTCTCCAACCAATAAGAGCATGGCCTAACCTGGCTGAAGCTTCCCTGGTCCTGCAACCGTGATCTTGAGATAAGCCCTGAAAACGATTAGGACAGGTTCCTCGCCAGCCGCAATGCCCTGGGAGCTGCCTAGTATCTCTGGCTCTCAGATCTTGGGGCCCGCTCTGGATCTTGACATTTCTAAACTTGGTAATTCAGAGGCTTTTTTTTTTAAGTTTCTTATCACCCATTGTTTTCTAGCCATTCACTTGAAAAAACAAAACAAAACAAAAAAACTCTTAAGATAGCCAGCTGTGGTTTCTGTTCCTTGCAGCCAGAGAAACCCATGTCACCTTTGGTCTTCTGGGATCCAGAGAAGCCCTCCTGCAGCTCACGGTCCCCAGTTATCTTTTTATATACCCAGATCGGATCATGTGCAGAAAACTGAAGAAAATCCTAACCCAGGCGTCCAAAGGCCTGCTTGACTTGTCCCCAGACTTTCAGTTTTGACTGCCAAGCGTGCTCACCCGCCTAGCTGCAGTCCCCAGACAGGCCAAGTGGCTTCTTTCTCAGAGGGGAGCAGCCCTTACTTGTTGGAGGTCCACCACGGTGTCCACCATGACACACTATGAGCCCCTCAGCCTCACAGACCAGAGAGGAAGGGCAGGGAAGGAGGCAGAAAGGGCCAGCCGTGGTGTGTGGAGGGAGGTGACCGTGTTTGGGTGGAGGAGATGGCAGCAGACACCCCCATCCCTGTCGCCCCGCCCCTCCTCCCAGCCCCCAGCCCTGCGGGGGACTCACATGTAAGCCTTGTAGTTGGATCCGATTTTCTGGATGCGGATGTCATACTTGGAGTCGATGAAGGCCTCGGTGGTGGCATAGGTCTTGGCCATGGCCACCACGCTGGTGATGTCCTGGTAGTCGTGCTGGTTTTCTACCTTGATCTGTGTGGGAGGATGAGGGTGTGAGGGCCACCCACCCCGTACCAGCTGCACCCCCCAGAGCCAGGATGGCGCTGTGGAGAGGCGGAGACCGAGAGGGCCACCCGCCCAGAAGAGGGACAGACGCAGAGGCAAGTCATCCCTCTACCTACGTGCACGAGGTAGAGGACGAAGGAGCCACCCCATGTGGGAGGTCAGGACCCCTCTGTGGAAGGGCCGGCTCTGCAGGGTCTGGAAGGACGACTACAGGGTGTGGATGGGCTGTGTCTGTCGCACAGCTGGTCTTTGGGGGCGCAGCAAGAGCCTGGGTCACAAGGTGTGGTGGGGAAGGGCCTGGCCCATGGGGACAGGAGGGTGGGGACAGCTGGGTGGGGACTGAGGCCGTGAGAGCTCTGATCAGGAGCTCAGCCTTTAGCCTGAAGGTTCTGGAAAGTCACAGGAAGAGTGAGAGGAGTTCAGAGAGCAAGTGGTTTACTTTGTGTTTTTGAAAAAGTCACTCAGGCTGTCAGTGAGTGAGAGGCTGCTCCCCTCTGAGAGGGTTAAAGGGAGGAGTGTGCAGGGGGCACAGAGAGAGCCGTTGGAAAGGAGTGTGTGTGTGTGTGTGTGTGTGTGTGTCGGGGGGAAGGGCCTTGCTGGGAGTTGTGCTTGATGTTCAGTGTGGGGAGCAGGTGTGTTGTGTCTGCCTGTGGGTGTCACATGCTGCTAGTGTGTGTGTGGGTCTTTGTGTGTTCGTGTGGGGTGTGTGTGTGTGTGGTGTTTGCTATGTCTGCAGAGTGTTTGGGTGCAGTATGGAGCATGTGATGTGTGGGCAAGCGCTGGGCATGCTGGCTATGGGTCCCAAGGCCTGGGGACAAATTCTGTTTACTGGGCTCAGGCTGGGATCACAGGGTGGTGTCCAGGGGTCAGGGAGAGGTCCTATCCCAGGGGAGCTCACAAGGCCAAGTGTAGGGGACAAGGCCAAGACTCCAAGACAGTGATCTCAAGACAGAGCAGAGGCTCCCAGCAGCCATGGACAGCTGGGTGTGCTGCCCCCTGTAGGTGCCCTGCAGCTGGCCATGGGGCCCCTGCTTGTTCAGGTGGCTCTCTCCCCCTTCTCGCCTCACCCAGATAATGGAGGACTCTGCCGGCCCAGCGCAGGCCAAGTCCAGAGGCCCTCAGAGGGCCGGGCTCTGGGCGGTCAGTGTGTGGGAGGCTCCCCCAGCCCTTTCCTGCCTGCCCCTAAGTCTCAGTGCTGACCAGCCATGCCTCCCCGACGATGCCCCCGCTGTGCGGGCCAACCTCAGAGCCTTGTGAAGTGACTTCACAGCTCTCCCAACAGCAGTGCGAGGCAGGCAGACTGGGCACTGTCAGGGCACTTTGCAGAGGTGCATCTGAGGTGCCTTGGCTTGTCCCAGGCAGACGGCAGGTAAGCCCAGAGCTGGGAAGGAAGCGCTGGCCTCCTGGGCACAGCTCTTCCTTGACCACCTCAAGGCCTGCGGTGGAGGCCTGCTGCTCTCCCAGGAGGGCTGAACCCCGGGGCCAGCTTGGAGAGAGGCTGGCAGGCCTTCCCTCTGTTGGCCCCCGAGAGCAAGGACTGGAGCCCCACTTTGCAGAGAAATAAAGGAGACCAGCAGGGCTCCCTGTTTCTGTCCCTATCGCACTCATCCGATTCCCTCCTCCCTCCCTCTACTCTTCGTTCTAATCTTCGGTGGCTCTGACTGCTGGCTGCTCCCTCTTCCTTTAGTAAGAGGACCCCTAAGTTTAAGTGGGTACCTGGTGTCCCAGCTAAATTACTTTGTTCCTGTCTCCTGTATAGATACGGTCAAGTTTCCAAATCCAGCCAACAAGAATTGAGCCCATGGGATGTGAGCAAAGATGAAGGGAAGCCTCCCTTTCCCTTTTTCTCTTTGGCTCTGGCTGGGATGTGGACGTGATGGTTTGATCAGGAGCAGCCTTCCTGGCCCCTGAGAAGGAAGCCCCGTGTTGATGATGGCTGAGAAGCCAGATGGTGTTTGGGCCTCCAGCTCTGTGGAGCCCCCTCTCCATGCTTGGCTGTTATGCTCAGACTCTTACAGGACACAGAAATCAGCTTTGATTTGTCTGAGCCACTGTGACCTTGGTCCTGGGTAAAGCGGCCACTCTGTTTCTGCCCCGTAGTTTGAGCCTCTTGCTTTTCCTTGGTTCTTCATCCTGGGGATCAGCCTGATGGAGGATCTACCGTCCTGCTTCTCGCCCCCAGTGACTCACCTCTGTGCCTCTCTGGCTGTCTCTACACCCTCATGTCCCACACCAGAGGCTCGCTCTTCAGATGTCACTCCTCCCTTCCCAAGAAAGTGCATTGGTAGAGGTCACCTTCGACGCCCTCGCGTGCGTCCTGCAGGAGCTCCCGGGTCTTCCTCCTGCTGTGGCACTCAGTAGCATCCAAAGTCCGTGAGCTTTTAGAGGTTTGGTTTCCACCCACCTGCCCTCTCAATCCTTTCCCTTTCTTTCTGGAACCTTCTTCCGTCTATCTTGCCTTTGTCCATCTTCAGCCGACACCTGGGGGTCAGGTGGGGGGAGTTGGGGGAACCAGAATGGAAGGTGGAAGCTCGCAGGGAGCCCTTGTCTAAATCCCCATCCCTGGTGGCTTTGGAAAAGACCGGAACTGCTCCTGCCCCTCGGCTTCCCAGGACAGCACAGCCCCGGAGGCTGCCTCGGAGGCGCCCATTGTCTTCACATCCATCTCCTACTTCTACAGCCACCGAGCATGAATGCTCCCCTTCTCCCTGGTATTTTTGTGTGGCCACGTGACCCCTTTTGGACAATGGGGTGTGAGCAGAAGAGGGGTGTGGACTTCCAAGGAGAGGAGGGCTCCGTGTCCTCTTCCTCTTCCCGCTGGCTAGGGATGTGGACGTCCTTGGCTGGTGGCTGAAGGACGGACGATCTACAATATGGAGGGGGCCTGAGGGCTGGGAGCCACAGCCCTGGGCAGCTGCTACTCCATTAGGTGAGAGAGAAAGTCCATTTTGAGTCTTTGTTGAGGCGGTTGAAGGCTCCCAATTGTACATCACCTGGGCACCACAGAGCCCAGTCCTGTCCCTGGGTCCACTGGGCCTGTCTCCCCATTAGAGTGTGAGCTTCCTGGGGACAGGGTGAGTCTTGTTCCCAGCCACAACCCTGAGGCCTGGAGCATTTGGGAGGAATTTAGAAGACGGGATGAGACCCTCTCATAATTGGGGGAGGGGCAGGGGACTGGAAGGGGAAAGAAGGACGCTCAGAAAGGAGGGGGGATGTGTTTCAGGGACATTTATGTTTCGTAAGGTCAATGCTTGGCCTGGATGCTACGGGTCAAAGGGACACAGCTTCGGTCCTGAGTCCTCAAGAACCTGGGGACAGACAGCTGGGTCCCTGGAGAAGTGGGCAGGAGGTCTGGAGCCTGGGTGGGCAGAGCTGGAGGGGACTCTGGGAAGGTCGCCAGGCCAGCGGGTGGCTGGGGTCAGAGGGTGGGGCGCTGTCGCGGCAGGGAGCCTCGCACTGTGCTTTATTAACTGGCGGGAAAACCTCTCCAGGGTTCACAGGGAGAAGCAGAAAACAGGAAGCCCCGAAGGAGCTGCGACTCAAGACTGTCCATGTGCTGCAGAGGGGCCCTGGGCGGGGCTGCCACCACCAACGGGGGCCACCCTGCGCCTCCCCTCCCCCTCCTGCTTCTCCTCTGGCCTCTTCCCCGTCCCCCACCCTTCGCCCTCCACCCCTTTCCTCTCTCTCCTCAGGTCACCTGTCCCTTGATCTTCGTCCTTTGTCATTTCTTCCTGGTTTTTCTCCAGTCCCCATGGCCCTCTCTCCCTCTCTCCTGATTTCCTGGTGCTCCTGGGCGTCACCTCCCTCCTCTGCTCAGCCTCCCGCACCCTCCGGCTCCTTCCCTTCACGTCCCCACTCAGGGTCGCGCACGCACCTCTCCCCACTGCGTCACCTCCCGGACCTGCTGACCTGTGCTTTGTCCCCAGGGTGACTGAGAGGGAGAGTGGACACAAAGAGGCAGAGAAACCACAGGGGTCAGGACCTGAGTGGGACTCAGCTCAGACTTCCAGCTTCAGGTAGGAAGGGCTCGTCATCCTCAGGGGCTGCCCACTCCTGGCCCCATTTCTGCAGCAGCAGGGGACTCTATGTCTGTCTGTCTGTCTCTCTGTATATCTATGCCTATAGATAGTTCATTCATTGTTTAGTCTATAATTACATCCAATATGCTCCAGAACTTCTGCAATGAGCCTTAGGATGCCCCAGAGACCACAGAGGAGGTCCAGGATTTGGATGATCACTGGGAGGTAGATTTGTATCTGGATGGATAATTGTGTTAAAGATATTTATTGATGTTTCGTTGTCAGCAAAGATGATCATAGTAGCGCTGGGGATGTGGCTTAGGGGTAGAGCACTTGCCTACATCTCTATCTGTCAATCTGGATAAATATAGGTAGATATCGATCTCGTTGTTTTGGTACTGGGGATCTCACCCAGGAGCATTCAACACTGAGCCGCATCCCCAGTTCTTTCTTGCATTTTATTTAGAGACAGGGTCTCACTGAGTTGCTTAGGACCTTACTAAGTTGCTGGGGCTGGCTTTGAACTCTCCATCCTCCTGTCTCAGCCTCCCGAGCCACTGGGACAGGTGTGCACCACCGCGCCCAGCTCAGGGAGCTCGATATTGAGCAAAGTTCCGATTCCTCTTTAGGGAATCTCTCTACCTGGTTCTACTGTATATTGTGCCTAGAATGAATGAAAGGTCCCAACTGATGGTTTTAACCCTTTACCTGTATTGTCAAGTCCACTGGGCAGGACAGCACAGAAGGACCTTATGCTCTGGTAGGTTATCATAGTAGTGAAAGTTAACTCACCAGGGGACTGGGAGGGCACCGACTTTCCCACACTAAGCTCTGTTACAAAGTCGCTTGAAATAATCCTGTATGACTAAGCCACAGTGTGGTACATGGTCAAGTTGAGTCACTTCATTTTGTTTTCTATTTTCAGGAATTGTTTTCCTATGTTTGATC